GGGCCTGGCATGGGCAAGCAGCGCCTGCGCTTAGCGGAATTGCGCAGTGCGCAGCAGGTCTCTACTAGGGCTTATTGAGAAGGCCTGGAAGGGCTTATCACGGCTGCGCACGGCTTGGCAGGGCTTGGCAGCGCTTTGCCGCGCATAGGATCCTCTAGCATGGCTCATCAGCACCTTGTAAGGTCTTGCAAGGCGTAGCATGTCTTATCAGAGCTCAAGTTCCAGCAACGTCTAGCAGCGCGCAACTCCGCAGCACCTGGCAGCGATTCGCAAGACTTTTCAGCGCGCGACAGCGCGTTGCAATGCTTGGGAGGGCTTAGGGGAAAAAAAATCAGCAGTGCTTCGCAGTGCCTAGAAGGGCCTTGAAGCCTTTAGTAGTGCGCAGCAGGGCTTAGCAGGGTCTAGCAAGGCTCAGCAGCGCCTGCCACCACATGGCAGCGCTTAACAATGGCAACCAGGGCTGGGCACTGCCTTGTACAGCTTAGCAGGACTCAGCAGCACGTAGCAGCGCCTTGCACCGCTTAGCAGTTCTTAGCGCGTCTGAACACGGTCGAGCAGCGCTTCGCAATGCCTTGCAGGCCTTCGCAACGCTTGGCAGGCCTATGCAGCGGCTAGCAAGGGATAACAGCGTCAAGCAAGGCTTAGGAAGTCTGAGCAGGGCCTTGCAAGGCCCAGCAGGGCTTTGCCATGCTTCGCAAGGCATAGCAGCGCTCGGCTGCGCTTGGCACGGCCCAGCAGGGATGCCAAAAGGGCCTCGCATGACCTGGCAACGCTTTACGTGGCCGGCCTGAGTAGCGCGCGGCAGCGCTCAGCAGGGCTGCGCAGCGCTATGCGGCGCCCAGCAGGGCTGAGCCGCGCTCTGCATGGCCTAGCAATGCCCGGCCCTAGCTTGACAGAGCGTCGCTTAGCAGGGCTTGACAAGCGTTGGCCAGTGCTTAGCAGCGCCTAGCAAGATTGCGCAGCGCTTCGCCAGGATTAACCAGGACAAGCAGGGTCCTGGCGTGGCCCAGCAGCGCCTGACAACCCTTGGCAGCTTTCAGCAGTGCTAGCAATGCCTTGTAAGGCTTTGCAAATCTTATCAGGGCCAATGTTTTGCAGCGCGTAGCGGAGCTTCGCAATGCTTAACAACATTGAGCAGGGCTTAGCAAGACTTAGCAGCGCTTCGCAGGGCTTGCCAGGGCATATCAAGGCGTTGATTGGCTTTGCAGCGCTTGTCGACGCGTGACAACATTTTGTTGTGCTGAGCGGGGCCCAGCAAGGCTCGGCAACGCTTCGCAGGGCCTAGCAGGGCTCAGCAGGGCATAGTTGCACCCAGCAACGCTCGGCAAGGCTCGCCATGGTCCATTAGCGCCCAGCAAGGCTTAGCAGCGCTTCGCGAGGCTTGGCAGTGCTCAGCAAGACCGAGCAGGTCCTAGCAGGGACTAGTTGGGAAGAACAGCGCGTAGCATGGCTCAGCTGGGCATGGGAGGGCCTGGCTGGGCACGGCAGGGCTTAGCAAAACTTCGCAAGCCCTTGCAATGCTGAAACGGAATCAGCTGTGCCCAGCGGCGCTCTTCAGAGCAAGGCTAAGCATGGCACAGCAGGGCTTCGAAATGCCCGGCAAGGCTGCACGGGGCCTAGCAGCGTCCAGCTGCGCTTCGCAGCGCGTAGCAGTTGGTAAAGCTTTCCTTCTCCGCGAGTACAAACGTGCACCAGAACTCACGTTCGCTTGAAGATCCGATCGCCCACCGCACAAGCTTCACTTTATTTGCCAAGCAAACATCCGGGATTGCCGAGCGCGGACAATGAGGGGCCGCCCGCGCGGGCGCATCCACGCGCGGGAAAGCTGCACCGTCTGCACGCGAAAACGCGCGCCTTAAATCATATTGAGTCGGAACCCCACTCGGCCACCAGGTAGGTTTCATTCTAGTTCCCAAGCTGGCAAGTCGACATTAGGAATGGGCGCGGAAGAAACCCCCCAGCGTGAGCTTGCGCTTGCGCGCGGGGGGTTCTGCATTGCCAATCATGCAACACATGCGCTAGAACTACGTTAACTTGCGAATGCAATTTGTGGCGGTTGAGCCCCCCCTGTAATTCCCTAGGCAGCATCGCGATTCTTAATGGCAGAACAGAACCCCCCGCGCGCGCCCGAAATCAGTTCTGCGTCGCACAGAATGCAAAACGCACACGAAACGCATGTCAGTTTGTAAATGCTACTGGTCACCATTAGGGATGTGCGTTCGTTTTCCGGATAACGCGGCTGCTTCTCCAATGCTGAAGAACGCGCCAGAAACCGAATTAGCTTAGAAATCTAAACGGGGACCTTTCGAGTTTGCTTTAGCTCCGAGGCCGCCATAGTGATTTCTCCATAGTATACGACGCAGGACTCCCCGCGCGCGCGCGCTGTGAGTTCTGGTTTGTCTACTATGCGCAACGCGCGCCAAAACGCATGTGAACTTAGGAATCCAGTCTGTCATCGTTGAGGGTTGGCTCGGCCTTGCAGCCTAAGTTGGCGAATTCTCTATTGCGTTGACTTCGGGAATGCCCGCGCGCGCCGCCCGCGCGCGGGCGCGAGCGCTCGCGCGGGGAGTCCTGTATTATCCTTGACGCAAGCCATGCGCCAGAACCCGCATTCCTCGGGGATCCGATCTGTCGCCGTCAAGGGTGCACTTGGAATCTTTGTTGCCGGCAGCGCAGAAGCCCCCGCGCGCGCGGTCGCGCGCGCGCGGGGAGTTCTGTTTTATTCCGCCTGCAGAACGGACAAGGGGACCCACGTTAACTTGGAAATCCAAATGGTCATAGCTAACGGCTCGTCTTCGTTTTCAAACCACCGCGGCGCCGCGCCCAGCCCGGGCGTCCGCGCTCGCGCGCGCCGCGGGAAGTTCCGCATTGCCCGCGAAACACAACAAAACATGCACCATCACCTATGCCAGCTTGAAGATCAAATCTTTCGCAGTGAAGGATTGATTTTAGTTCCCAGGCCTTCGCGGCGACTTCTGTCGCGGGCAATGCAAGGCAAACCGCGACCGCGCGCGCGGGGAGTTAGGTATTTTCCTGCGGACAAAACATACGCCATGACCCGCGTCAACTTGGACCTGCATCCAGTCACCGCTCAGATTTGATGTTCGCTTCCAACCAAACATGTCGAGTCTTCGTTTGCGGACAATACAGACATGACCACGCGCGCTGCTGTCGCCAAAGTGCAGCATATACACCAGACGCCATGTCAATTTGGGAATTCAAATGCAAGTGGCTGCCGTTGTGGGTTCACTTTAGCTTCCAAGCCAAAATTGCGACTTCTCTCTCTTCGGGAACACATATCATAACTCCCCGCGCGAGCGCGCGGGCGCCGGCGAGCGCGATGCGTTCCAGATTGTCCCAAATACGAAACGTGCACTAGGTCCAATGCAAACTTGCAAACGGTCACCGTTAACGGTTCAAGTATGATTCCTGGCCAACATGGATGGACATTGCAGAACTCACGCGCGCGCTTGCGCGTCAGCGCGCGCGTGAGGAATTCTGCGTTGCCCGCAATCGAAAAACGACCGCGTTGGCCTGGGATGTTCCAAGTTTATATGGTTTCTGTCGTATGTTTGAGAAAATGGGCAAAGCCGAACTCCCCGCGCGCGCGTCGGCGCGCGCGGGGGAAGTTCTGTATTGTCTACAGGAAAAAACGCATTTGGGCACGGAAACTAAAAGTCAACGCCAGATTTCCATGTTAACAATTGTTCTGGCGTAAGTTTTGTCAAATGGACTATGCACAGCTCCCAGCGCGCTCGTGGGGAGGCATGTGTTGCCAGCAGTTGAAAAGTCGCCATAGTGGGCCTTTACAGATAGCAGATCGATTTCCCATGTAAACTTGGTGTCGTGTGTATATTTTGTGTAATGGATAACGCACAATGGAGCTATGTATTGTCAGGAGTAGTAGGGGCGCCATGTTGAATTGGAAACTAAGGCGAACGCTTGACAATGGCAGATCTAATTCCACAGGTGTACATGGGCTCTGGTGCATGTTTGTTTTGTGTTGCGGAGAAAGCAGAACTCCCCACGCGCTTGGGGAGCGCTGTATTGACCACGGTAGAAAAATCGGCCTGGTTGCCTGGAGACAAACATGAAACCATTACGATGACCGAGTGGATTCTGAAGTTCGCATGGTTCCTTGCGTGAGTTCTAAATTTGGACAATACTGAATTCCTCACGCGCGTACGTGGAGAGTTCTGTGTTGTCCACGAGCGAAGCGTTGGCATGTTGGCCTGGGAAATAGTAGTGAGCCCTTCGCGGTGACCGATGGATGTTCGAAGTGCACATGGAATCTCGTATATGTTTTGTATGCTGGACAATACAAAACGAGCCCACCCAAGTCCAATCCAGTCTTCGCCAGTCCAGTTTACTTCTGATCACTTCATCATTGTAGTCTTCTGCTCTATTTGGAATCGCGCTGGTTGATGTGCTCATCCTCCTCCTGCCTCCCCCTCCTCACCACCCATCATTATCAACCACCCGAATCTGACCATCGCTATCTCCACGTCGCCCTCCTCGTCGACCCACGTCATTGTCTTCGTCACCTAACTCCTCCTTCTCCTAATCCTCACCGGCCCCTGTCCCTACTCTCGAATTCCTTCTCTGGTTCCCATTCCCGCTCATGCCTGCTGCTCCATGTTCCCCCTTCTGCTCCCCCCTTCTCCCACTCCTTCTCCTCCCGCGCCTGCGGTTCCTCCTCCTATGAGCCTCCTGACCCCCTCCTCATCCCATTTTCCTCCTCCCCTGCCCCGTCTGCTCGTCCTCCTCCTACCCTGCCTCTCCTCCTCCCTCCTCCTCCTCCTTCGCATGCTCTTGCTCGCCCCTTCATCATCCCCTTTCACCTCCACCCCGCTCATCTTCCTAATTTCCCCTCCTCCTCCTCCTCTCCCTCCTCCTCCTCCTCCTCCTCCTCCTCCTCCTCCTCCTCCTCCTTCTCCTCCTCCTCCTCCCCCTTCTTCTTCTTCTTCTTCTTCTTCTTCTTCCCGTCCAGCGGCAAGGGCCTCGATCCCAGGCAGCGGCTCGATCAGGGCCTCCTCTGACGGCGGCGGGGGCGGCGGGGGCGGTGCGGGCGTCGCCGCGGCGGTGGCGGCCGCCGCCGCGGCGTCTGGCGCTGGCGGCGCCGCGGGCTGCTGGATGGGGGGGGGGGGGCGGGAGCCGGAGAGCCGACAAGTGGATGGCGTGGTTCCTCCGCCGTCATCGCGTGCGTCCCCACGTTTCTCCGGCTCCTCGGCCGTCTGTCAGAGAGCCGGCAGGGGGGGGGCCGGGCGGAGGAGAGAAAAGATCGGGGAGATTGCCGCGGGGATGCGGAGAGAAGGTTCCGAGGGGTCAGGGGAGGAGGGGAGGAAGGTACTGTGGGGCGGGAGGAGGGCGGGAGAGGGTGACGGGAGAGGAAGGGGATGCAACGGCAGGGAAAACAATGGGGCAGGAGCGGCGGAGTGGGGGGGGTGATAGGAAGAGAGGTGGTGGCGAGGGGGCAAATGCGATTGGAGAGGGGGAGGGAGTAAGCCTAGCGACGATCCGAGAAATCAACGGGGAGCTCCGTGGGGTGTTGGAAGGCACTTTGGTACTCTAGTTTTCGTGGGTTCGTGCGCGAGTCACTGGGGGGGGGCTCTGGGGGGCGTTCGCACCGTTACTGGCAGAGTTCAGTAAGAGGCCATCTATGCTGCATTGTATGTTGTAGTTTTTTCTGGGCAAAATTTCGAGCGCTGGTAGATGCCATCGCGAATGTCTACGCGGAAGCCCGTCGGCGGGGCAGCTGCGTGGCACTGTCGGTTTGTGGTTCTCTTTTTCCAGACCTGTCGCACCGTCGCCCTGCTTCTTCGCGAAGCCTGTCGGGCTGGGCCGAACGAAATGCCTTTGGCTGTTCGATTCGTTTTTTTGTTTGGCTCCGGTCCTGACAGGCGCCCGCGCCCCTCGCCCATTGTATCGACGATGCCCGCTGCAGGGCCAGGTGCGATGCATTGCCTGGATTTGCTCTCGGTGTGCTTCAGTCCTCACATGCTCCCGTCCCTTTTGCCTGTGAAGCCCGCTGGGGACGGCTTCGCTGCGCGGTCTATTCTTGTGCTTCCTTGTATCGGGGGGGGGGGTCGGCAGTTGTGCCCGAGCAGGATTTGTTTCGCGAAGACCACAGTGGGGCTGGCTGCTCTGAGTTCTCGTGTCCGGGTTCTGCCTTCTGCCCATGATGTGGGAAATTCGGTTCTCTCCACTACGCCGCGCGTGCTCCCTTTGGGGGCACAGACCCCCCCCGCGCTGGAAAGCTCGCGACGGACAGCTCTGGGATATCCTTTCGGTCGCTGGGAGAGGCCCCTATTCACCGCGGCTGCGGTCGGGCTGCTGCGTCGGCGTTCGAGGTCACCCCCCTCCTCACCTCCTCCTCCTCCTCTTTCCTTTCCTCCTGCTCCTCCTCCCCCTCCTCCACTTCTCCTCCTCCTCCTCCTCCTCCTCCTCCTCCTCCTCCTCCTCATCCTCCTCCTCCTCCTCCTCCTCCTCCTCCTCCTCCTCCTCCTCCTCTGGTTCTCTCCACTACGCCCGCCTCTCCATGTTTCTTCCCCTGCACTGCCGTCGCTTCGGCACTGCCTCGTGCACGATGCCGCTGCTGTGTCGCGACCCCTGGAAGCCCGTCGGCCCCTCCGGGCGCCCACCCAAGGTCCCATGGAGCTCCAGAGGGTGACTCTGGGGGGGGGCCGACGCGCCTCCGCGCGTGAGAGAACTGCAGAGATCGATCGGAAACGGCACGCGGTTCGAGAATCTCGCTCGAATGCGCAACAAAAACACCTGTCGCCATCTGGTCGGGCCGGATGCGCGCAAGACGCGACAGAGCGCAGTGTTTCGCTCAGACAGCGGCCACATTCGAGGAAGAAGTGCGAGAGCGCATTGTTTTCGCAAAGGAATCATAGCCATCGCCCAGAACCACGACCCCAAAGGACAGCCCCCACAAAGAAGAAACTGCGGAGCTGAACACTTAGGTGCTAAAGCGAAAACGCCAAAGTGAAAGAGCTGGAAGTGCAAGGAAATTCAATCCGAACTCCTCCGCCTCCTCCGTCAATGGCGGACAGCCCCTCTTCCCCCTCCTCCTCCTTACGCCCCGTCACTGTCGGACTCCTGCTCGTCCGACCCTGGCCCTTGTGATCCTTACGACCCTGAAGGGGTCATACGGGTCACCAGGCTTTGATGGCCCTTGTGACCCTAATGGGCCCTAATGCCCTTTCTGGGGCCGGCAAAATAACAATGTTAATTTGACCTGAACATCCTGTGGGTCATGAGGGTCATGATGTTCAGATTCTTCCATGAGCGCTTGCTCTAGAGGGGGCCCCGAGAAAGCTGTGAAGACCTGGTGAAACAAGCCTGCCCTATTCGATAGGCGGTCGGTGCCCCGAATTGCTCAGAGTACTTGCTCAAGGTTCCGATGGTAGATGGTAAGGAGACGGAGAGAGTACAGCGCATGATTTGGAGAAGAGAGAAAAGAGAAATAAAGACAGAACGAGAGAGAGAGAGAGAGATAGGAGAGAGCGCGCCCGTGGTACACTCCCGAAGAGGGGGTGGGGCCCCCCCTTAGAAACACCCCCTGGAACCTCCGATGCCAGACCCCCCCCGCCCCGCCTTTTTGTTCCGCCCCTCGGAAGATACCCCTCCCCCCTCCCTTTCGCGCTCCGGAAGCTACCTCCCCGCCCTCCCTGTCAAGGGGGGGGGCGAAGCTGCCCCCCCTTGCACCTCCCCTGCAGGAAGCCTCCACCCCCTCCTTTTTTCCGCCCCTCGGAAGCTACCCCCCCCCCTCCCCCCCTGTCGCGCTCTGGAAGCTATGCCCCCCCCCCTCCCTTTCCAAGGGGGAGAGAGCTCAGCTATCCCTCTCCCCTCTTTGAACCTCCCCATCCTGAAGCCCTCCCCCTCCCCCCCGGGGCTAAAAGGGGAGGAGCTTAGAAGCCCCACCCCAATTGACTAAAGGAAGGAACGCCGAAGATCAAAAGGGCGCCGAAAACCAACAGATTACCGAAATCCAGGGAGCCATCGAAAACCGAAAGGGCGCGAAAACCAAAGGCCCGCCGAAAACCGAAGGAGCGCGAAAACCGAAAACGCGTCGAAAACCGAAGGTGTGCTGAAAGCCATAAGGGTGCTGAAAACCAAAGGGGCGCCGAAAACCAAAGGAGCGTTGAACACCAACAGGGCGCCGACAACAAAAAGAAAGTCGAAATTCAAAGGAGAGCTGAAAAACAAAAGAGCGTCGAAACGCAAAGAAGCGCCGAACAACCAAACAGCGCCGAAATCCGAACGAACGCCGGAAACCTAAGAGGCGCCGAAATTAAAAAAAGGCTCCGAAAACTAAAGAGGCGCCGACAACCAAAGAGGCGCCGAAAACCAACAGAGCGCCGAAAACCAAAAGGCCGCCGAAAACCAAAGAGCACCGAAACCCAAAAAGGCGTGAAAAAAAATGTCGCCGAACTTGAACAGGGCGCCGAAACTGAAGGGGCGCCGAAAACCAATAGGGCATCGACAACCAAAGGGTCGCCAAACACCAAAATGGCACCGACAGTCAAACGTTGCCGAAAACCAAAGGGGCGCCGAAAGTTAAGGGGGCACCGATAACCAAAAACCAAAGGGGCGCCGAAACCCAAGGGGGCGCAGAATATTAAAAGGAAGACGATTACCAGAACAGCGCCGAACACAAAAAAGGGGTGCGGAAAAACCAAAGAGCGCTGGAAAACAAAGGGCGACGAACACCAAAAGGACACCGAAAAGCAACGATACGCCGAAAACCACGAGGGCGCCAAAAACCAACTGGGCGCCGACAACCAACTGGGCGCCGAAAACAGCAGAAGCTCCGAAGACGGACATGTCGCCAAGAACAAAAAGGGCACCAAAAAACCAAAGACGCGTCGAAAACCAAAAGGGCGTCGAAATCCGAAGGACGCCCCTCCCAAAAAGAGCGCCGGAAACCAAAGTAACGTCGAAAACCACAAGTGCGCCGACAACCTAAGACGCGCCGGTAACCATAAGGGCGCCGAAAACCGAAGGGCGCCAAAAACCAAAGCAAAGACGCGCCGAAAGCCGAAGGGCGCCCAAAACCAGAGGGGTGCCGAAAACCAAAGAGCACCGAAAACCAACAGGTGCCGAAAACAAAAGGGGCGCCGAAAATCAAAAGGGCGCCGAAAACCTAAAAAGCGCCGAAAACCAAAGGAGCGCCGGAACCCGAAAAGGCGCCGAAGACTAACGATGCGCCGAAAACCACAGGCTGCGCAGATAACTAGAAGGGCGTCAAAAACCAAAGGAGCGCCGAAAACCACAGGAGCGCCGAAACCCAAAAGGGTACCGAAAACCAAAGGAGCGCCGAAAACCAAAGGGGCACCCAAGGTCCAAGGGGCCACGAAAACCAGCGAGGCGCCGAAAAGTCAAGAGACGCCGAAAACCACGCCAGGGCCCTCCAGCTGGAAAAACCAACAGAAGGAGGGGGGAGGGGGGCGGGTGGCTTCGGAAGCCCCCCCCGCCCCCTTTTGGAAAGGGGAGCCCGTGCTGACCCGAAGAGGGGGGGGTAGCTTCCAAGCCCCCCACCCCCTGTAGTCAGGGACCCCCAGCTACAAAATCCTATTAAAAGGATTGGGTGGGGGGCAGCTTCGGAAGCTCCGGGGGTAGCTTCCAATCCTCCCCCCTCTTTTGCTAGGCCCCCCCCCCAGCTAAAATATCCGCACAAAATAAGGAACCGAACTTTCTACACCGATGTTTTTTTGTTCTGGTCCCACACTGAGATTCGCACAAGAAAACGGATTATGGTGTATACGGCATCCTGGTGTATACATGTTTTGTTGCTTCCACGGGAAAACGGGGAAACAAGTATACACCACACCACCCCGACGTCGTCCCCGACCCGCAAGAAAGTCCTGGGATTGAACAACAGCCCGCCACTGGTAATGTATCCGTTCCAGTTTCCGCACAAAAGGGAGGGATGGGGGGCAGCTTCGGAAGCCACCCCCTTCCAAGGGAGGGTGGGGGTAGCTTGAATCTTGGACCTCTCTTTTAGGGAGAAGCGTGCCACGAGCGCGCTCTTTCATACACACATATAGAGAGAGAACTAACAAAACACAGCACAAAGCAAAAGAGACACAGCGAGAGAAAGAGAGAAAGAGAGACACAGATAAGACATACTGCACAACACAGTGCAGGGCGGCCACATCAGAAAAGGCAGCAGTAAGGAGTACAGGGTGGAGAATAGAGAGTATACGTGCTTCTCCACTTTGCGTAGCGAAGGGCCAAGCCCCATGCAACTACGTGTTGCGCAGGAGTGCCCCTTTCCTCATGTACTGCACGCCGTGGGGGTGCGGGATGGAGACGGAGCTCTGTGTAGATCAGGATCTTCGTGATGGGCGTGCCGAGTTGAGGCGCGTAGCTGGAGCGGTGGAGACGACTACAGGGCACGACATTAGCGAACTGACCAGTGAAGCTAGTGAACTGACCGCACGCGGGCAAGCCCGCTGAGGCCACACGTGGAGCACGATCCGCATGAGGGGCGTGCCGAATTGGTCGGAAGCCCGCACGCGGGCGACCCGCTGGGGGTGTGGGCAGAGCTGCGGGGCACATGACCCGCGTGAGGGTTGTACCGAAATGGGCGGGGGGGCCCGATGCGAAGACACCGGTTGGGGTCACAGGTGGAGGAGCTTCCTGGGGGGCACGATGCCGCGCGAGGGGTGCACCGAATTTGTCAGAAACTTGCGCGAGGGTGCGCCCGCTGCGGCTAGAGGCGGACCTCCCACGGGGCACGATTCGCGTGAAGTGCGTGCCGAAATGGGCGAAGGCCCACGTGAGGTGTGCGTGTGTGTGTTTGTGTGCCGAAGTGTGTGTTTGTGTGTGTGTGCCGAAGTTCGCGTGCGGGTGCGCCCGCTGGGACCAGAGGTGGAGCTCCCTGTTGAACACGATCCACGTGACGGGTGTGCCGGATGGGGCGGAAGCCGCACGCGGGCGCGCCAACTAGGGCCACAGGCGGGGCTCCGTTCAGAGCTCGCTCCGCGTGGGAGGTTTGCCGAAGCGGCAGGAGGCCCGTACGCGTGCGTGTCAAGAAGGGCCTCGGATGGATCTCTCTGTTTGGGCACCATCCGCGTGAGGGATGTGCCGAAGTGGGCAGAAGCCCACATGCGAATACACCCACTGGGGCCAGAGGTAGAGCTCCCCATGGAGCACGATCCGTGTGGCGGGTATAACGAAATCAATGGATGCCCGCATGCGGGCGCGCACACTGGGGCCACAGGTCCTGGGCTGAGCTCTTTATGGCTCGCGATCTGCGTGATGGGTATGTGGACACGCGTACGCGAGCATCAGCAACAGCACTTGCTGGGAGCTGCAGTATCATTTTTCCCCGCAACGAAGCCCCAAACCCCAGGAGCCGTACAAACTGGAATGGCAGCAGCGGCATGGCAGCGGCCGCATTCAACAGGCAGCGCAACAGCAGCGACAGGGAGGGTAGGAAGGAGGTGAAGGCGGGAGGGAAGGAGGACGCGCGGCGTTGCGGATTGAAAACGAATACCCCGCTCTACACGAGGGTTGGGAACAACATGAAGGCTGCGGCGGACAGGCGTCTGGACCCAGTACTTTCCTGCTGACATCCAAGTACAACCATACACTCCCCTTCCATCACCCTCCCTTAAGTCGAGTGTTTCACACCTCCTCTCTTCTCAACCCCGTCTCCTTTCCATCCCAGCATCCCTTCAATCCCTGTCTCCCCTCGCCTTCCCCTTCTATTCCTCCCATCCCATACCGACCTTACCTGTCAATTGTAGCTAAGCTGACGCTTGCGGATGCCAACCCCTCTTTCGTCGAATTGCACCCATGCGCTGGCATGCCAGATGCAGCGTCCGATAACGGTGCAAACCTTGTTCTGCTTTTGCCGCGCAATCGCACTTGCCACTACACAACCTGCCGTCCGAGAAAACAGCGCGTAGTGAAAGCGCCAAGCCACTCTGATGCGAGTTCCAACGCACAACGACTACGACGTGGCACGCGCTTGCCCGTGCAGAGATGGGAATACAACCCGCCGCTCGTCGCGCCGCTGGGTTTCAGCCAGACGGCAAATTCCTCCCGCTTTCTCGCCATTGGTTCTCAACCCGTGCTTCTTGTCCAGCGGGGTCCTCTCGCCCACACCCTACCATTCTTGATGAATCGTCGGAGATCCTGAAGGATCCTGAGGGGTCCTCAAAATACCCTAAGAACCCGCAAAAAAAGTCCAAAGCATTGTTTAGGAACCGTGAGGTTCCTTGAGGAACCGTTTGGAGTCCTTAAGAATCCAACGAACTCCAAGGAGCACCAAAAAATTCTCAAGAACCCAAAGGGTTCTCGTGGAATCCTGCAGAATCCCAAGAGACATATGCGAACCCCACGGAATCGGGGTCACAAACGGTCGGTCCCGCAACCCGCCCGAGCTCCGAACAAATTCGCCGACCCCCACTAGCCCAGGGTGAAAAAGACGTGTGAAACATTTGGCTATCCCCCTCCCCCATTCCCCCTCCCCCAAGGTCCAACATTGCGTTTGAGGGAGGTGGGGAGGGGGGCAAGCTCCCCAATGCACCCGTGGGGCCTCCCAAGCCTGCAAATCTATCCTCCGTGGCCGCCCAAATCCCAAGATGCTTTCTGAGATGGCTCCAGAAGAGCTCCAATATGCCAGAGAGGCCCCAAGAACATCCAAGATAGTCTGAAGACGGCCGAAGACGCCGAACGACCCCCCCCAGAGGACCCCCCCAGAGGGCCCCCAAAGGCAACTCAAATTGTTTACCTATTGATCTTCGCGTTCTCGGCTCTCCGGCGTCTGCACGCTCAAGACGGTCCAAGAGGACCCCCAAGCAGGCCCAAACCGAGCCGAACGACTCGCAACGGCAAAGGGACGGCCAAGGAGGGCCCCAAGACGGCCCAAAAGGCCCACAGGACGGACAAACCAACTTGGATGTGGTCACAAGAGAGGCCCAAGAGGGGGAACGTGCAGAGTTGCTGGGAGCCATCCCCCAAAAGATGGCCCCCAAGACCCCCGACTGGCTCCGAGAGGCCCCCAAGCAGCCCCCCCAAAAGGACCCCAAATGCATTCTTTCTTCTGGACTTGATCACGACGTCGACCCTGGAGGTCTGGACCCATTCCCTGGGACCGGCTTTTCATCCTTAATTGGGGACCTGCTGGCCCGGGTCAATCCAGACCGGTCAGGCCTTGCAAGATCTTGCAAAATCCTGCAGGATCCTGCCCGATCCTGCACCCAAGCCCGGGTCAGTGCCGACACTGGCCCTGCAGGATCCTGGAAGATCCACCGCTCTGGCTGACCCCCGTTTGCATTGACCTCCGTCTCATGAGCCCCAACCTAGTCTTGAGCAGGGACCGACCGTCCCAGCATTCCTATAGTCCTACCACGAAATATTCTTAGAACCCCAAAGTGTTCTAAGAACAAAAGCAATGTTCTTAAACCATAAACCCGATGTGTTAAAACCAGACAGACTCCGCCAGACATGTTCTAAGAACATTTCGGGGAAGCCACAAAAGGCTCTTAGAACATTGTTTGGTGGGGCTATCGGCGAGCCAGGACGCTTCGTCACTGCTTGATCGTCGTTTTCTGACGGTCCCGGCGCTCGGCAGGGGCCCCCGGAAGCCGAAGATGGGCCAAAACCGTCCTGGGCACGACCTCTCCACGACGGGGAGAGCGCAGGAGGAGGGCACCGGCCAGGGCCGCCCCCGCCTGCGGCTGCGGCTGCAGCTGCAGCTGGTGCGCGGCGGCGGGCGGCGGAGGGCCCTGTCGCAGAGGGGGCATCGGAAGCGCGCCTCCCCAGGAATTCCTTCTGATGCTGCGCTGCTGCTGCTGCTCCTACCCCTCCAGCGCATCCTCCTCGCCCTCCATCCCTTTTCCCCCTCCTAGCTCGCCTCCCCTTTCTCCTCCTCCTCCTCCTCCTTTTCCTTCTCCTCCTCCTCCTTCTCCTCCTCCTCCTCTGCCTTCTCCTGCCACCCACACCGCTCATCCAGCCAACTCCTTCGATTACTCCCCGTCGTGCGCCTGGTTTTCCCTCGCGCGCGCCACTCACCCTCCCCCACCCATCTTTCTTCCTGCCCTCCTCGCCGAGATACCAGACGTGCTGTCATTGAGGGAGGGCTGGGTGTTTTGCTTCTGCATTCTCCTATCTGATTCCCTGAAGCTTAACACGCCAACCGAATGTCAAAGACCCAACTCTCGCCCTGGCGCCGCTCGCTTCCGGCTCAACAGTCAGAAGCTGCTGCGCGTGCTGAGGGTGGGCCGTTTTCAGACTGTGACCATCGCCTCAGATTCGGGCACATCTGCCATCATCCTCCTCATGATCGTCATCATCGTCATCATCATCATCACCACCATCATCATCATCAGCATCATCATCATTATCCTCATCCTCCTCCTCCTCCTCCTCCTCCTCCTCATCATCATCATCATCATCATCAGCATCATCATCATCATCATCATCATCATCATCAGCATCATCATCATCATCATCATCATCATCATCATCATCATCATCATCATCATCATCATCATCATCATCATCATCATCATCATCGTCATCATCATCATCCGCATCATCATCAGCATCATCAGCATCAGCATCATCAGCATCATCATCATCACCACTACCACCACCATCACCACCACCATCATCATCACCACCACCATCACAACCACCACCATCACCATCACCATCACCATTACCACCACCACCACCATCATCATCATCATCATCATCATCATCATCATCATCATCATCATCATCATCATCATCATCATAATCATCATCACCATCCTCATCCTCATCCTCATCCTCATCCTCATCCTCATCCCCATCCCCATCCTCCTCATCCTCCTCCTCCTCCTGGCTCGGGCGCGCCACCGCCCCTCCCCCCCCCTGGTTGGGCCGCAGGCGCGGCACGCCGCATTGGAGACGAGGACGCTTACGCGCGAACTTTCGCGGGTGACTTACGCGACAATGTCGGCGCAGACGACCCCGTTTTTCTTCGTCGCCCACATGAGGAACGATGCCACTGGCGACAGCAACTCGGTGGCGGTGGTCCCCGGTCCTCCTCTGAGCTTCCACAACCCGTCCGCAACGAGGGCGGGCCGCTTCCAAAGTGTGGCTTCGAGTAGCCTTGGCGCCGTGCATGTTCGCCGTCTAAAGGCTGCCAACAGCTGCGCGGGGTGGAGGGAGACCCCTTTCCAAGCGAATGGCTCTCGCCACAGCGAGCATTCGTGTGACATGGCTCTAACATGTTCACGGATGGGGAACGCGATTCGACTGGCACCCCCTCACGTCGTAGGACTAGGAACCCTTCGTCTCGTATGACCTTGGGCGGAGATTACGGAAAGAGTTTGAGAAAACAGCTCTCGCCCAGCTCGCCTTCGTCCTAGTTGCCGCAATGCTTGACCTCTCCAGTAGCTGCAGTCGGAAGGCGGCCCCTTTTCCACGCATGGGTCGTGCGCGAGGCTGTGTCTCTCATCGTACATCGTATGGTCCCGAAGCTTGGGATTTGCAGCAACTGCGTGCGCCAGCATCGATGGCCGTTTCAAGTTTTCTGCCCTCGCAGAGACGCCGCGCACAGATGGGCAATGTTTCCAAGCAGCTGCACGAACAGATGGCGATTCCCGATCAAGCTCTCTGAGCCTTGTTACCGTCACGATATCAAACCCGAGCTGGCTCCCAGAACAAACACACGTACGGTCGGGAACATTTTTTGAGCATGTCGCGGCGGCGGCCCCATCGACGGGCCATGCCTTACAAGCGCGCACCTCTTCGCTCCGCGTGGCGGGAGGTCAGACAACTCTCGAGGTGCTGACGCCTGGGGGTGGTGGCGCGATTAGCGTGTGCACCCAGGCACGGTGAGCTCACAATTTCGTGGGATCCATGAACTGCAACACTTTTCTGGCCGTTTTCAACAACCACCGACTCTGGAACATGAAACCCTCTAACCCGAAAAAGCTTCCAGAAACGATGAGAGCATGGCTCTGGGATTGAAGCCAGAACCAGAACGGGAAACACAATTGCGACGGAATCGGGGAAGAACACGGCGCCGGAACAAAAACAGTGGAGATCCATGACAAGCGTTAAGTCGGGCGTGTCCCCCTACAGGGGGATTTTCGACGAAAAATTACAAGTACGCAAAAACAGTTCCAACATGCTAAAAAAAAACTCTAAACATATCCCAGTGCGACCCTACCTAGGAGTTGGAGCATTTAGGAAAGCAACATCTACATCTACACCGACAGCTACATGCACATCTACACCTGCTTCTACATTTACATCAACATCAACAGCGAGACTCACATCTACATCTACATATACACCTACGCTCGGCTGCGCTGTGTTGTGCTAGGCTATGCTATGCTATGATATGTTGCGCTATGTGATGCTATGTTGTGATATGCTGCGCACTGCTATGCTATGCTATGCTATGTTATGATATGTTGTGCTGCGCTATGATATACTAGGCTATGCTACGACATGCTATGCTGCGCTATGCTATGCTATGCTATGCTATACTGTGCTGTGCTATGCTATACTATGCTATGCTGCGCTATGCTATGCTATGGTATGCTATGATAAGCTGTGCTATGCGATGATATGATGCGCTGTACTATGCTAAACAATGTTATACTATGATATGATATGATATGCTATGCTATGCTCCGCTATGCTATGAAATGCTATGCTATGCTGAGTTATGCTATGCTATGCTAGTTTATGCTTGGCTACGCTATGCTATGCTATGCTGTGTTAATGCTGCGCTGCGCTATGCTGCGCTGCGCTAAGCTAAGGTGAGTCCAGCTATGCTAAGCCAAGCTAAGCTAAGGTAAGCTAGGCTAGGCTAAGCTAAGCTAAGCCAAGCCAAGCCAAGCCAAGCCAAGCTAAGCGAAGCTAAGATGAGATCAGCCAAGCTAAGCTAAGCTAACCTAAGCTAGGCTAGGCAAAGCTACGCTAAGCTAAACTAAGATGAGATAAGCCAAGCTAAGCTAAGCTAGGCTAAGCTAAGCTAAGTTAAGCTAAACTAAGCTTAGCTAAGCTAAGCTAGGGGAACCCAGGGGGCGCAACTGGGGGAACCGCGGGGCGGGGACTGGGGGAACCGCCCGGGGCGATTTACACTGCCCGGCCCCTTTAAGCAAATTATCCCAATGCGACCCTACCTAGGAGTTGGAGCCACTAGGACAGCAGCATTAGTAGTAACAGTAAAACTAAGCTAAAGCTAAGCTGAAGCTAAGCTAAAGCTAAGCTAAAGCTAAGCTGAAGCTAAGCTAAAGCTAAGCTAAAACTAAGCTAAGGCTAAGCTACCACTAAGCTAAAGCTAAGCTAAAGCTGAGCTGAAGCGAAGCTAAAGCTAAGCTGAAGCTGAGCTAAAGCTAAGCTAAATCTAAGCTAAAGCTAAAACTAACGATAAGCTAACGCTAAGCTAAAGCTAAGCTAAAGCTAAGCTAAAGCTAAGTTAAAGCTAAGCTAAAGCTAAGCTGAAGCTAAGCGAAAGCTAAGCTAAAGCTAAGCTAAGGCTAAGCTAAAGCTAAGCTAACGCTAAGCTAAAGCTAAGCTAAAGCTAAGCTAGAGCTAAGCTAAAGCCAAGCTAAAGCCAAGCTAAAGCTAAGCTAAAGCTAAGCTAACTCTAAGCTAAATCTAAGCTGAAGCTAAGCTAAATCTAAGCTAAAGCTAAGCTAAAGCTAAGCTAAAGCTAAGCTAAAGCTAAGCTAAAACTAAGCTAACACTAAGCTAAAGCTAAGCTAACACTAAGCTGAAGCTAAGCTAATATTAATATGAAGCTAAGCTAAAGCTAAGCTAAAGCTAAGCTGAAGCTAAGCTAAAGCTAAACTAAAGCTAAGCTAAAGCTAAGCGAAAGCTAAGCTAACGCTAAGCTAACACTAAGCTAAATCTAAGCTAAAGCTAAACTAAAGCTAAGCTAAAGCTAAACTGAAGCTAAGCTAAAGCTAAGCTAACACTAAGCTGAAGATAAGCTAAAGCTAAGCTAGAGCTAAGCTAACACTAAGCTAAAGCTAAGCTAAAGCTAAGCTAAAGCTAAAGCTAAAGCTAAGCTAAAGCTAAAGCTAAGGCTAAAGCTCCCAGGGGACTGGGGGAACCGCGGGGCGGGGACTGGGGGAATCGCCCGGGGCGTGTAGCACTGCCCGGCCCCTTTAAGCTAGAGAGTAAGAACCCTTCTAGGCAGAGCCTAGGTAGGGAAATAGCCCCCATATTATAGTTTGACAATTTTTGAATATTCCTCTTGTAGAAGGGCAAGCCCGACTTAAGACAAGACGCACCCTGCTTGCCTCCAGGGTGCCCCCTGGGCTTCTTGGACTCCGATGGCTTTGCGCTGGAGAGCATGACGCCCCTCGCACCGAGATTCGATGGACGTCCTGGGGTCTCAGGGTTGGGCTTCTTTGAAGAGGCCCCAGGACACACAAGTAAATACACACAGATAAAAGGATTCCCCATATTTTCCAATCTTTTCGGGGTTTTCGTCTCCCCCCACTTCCCATATCTTCCCATATCTTCCTGGGACTCGACGATTAATTGTGTCTGTGTGTTTTTCCTCCTCCTGATTCTGCTGGGAGGTTTCTTACACTTGGGCCCCCGCTGCACTCCGAACTGCAACGCAGCCCTGCCGCTGCCGAGGCCCGCCGGGAGGGCCGGAGCCGGCAGAGCGACACGCTGAGCGGACGCTCCTGGCCGTGAGGTTCTCAGCGCTGAGGTCAGGTCGGGCATGCCCGGGGGCGCGCAGGCGTGGATTAGCGATCCTCCGCCCTCCGCCCTCCTCCCTGGGGGCAGTTTTGTCTGGGGCTTCTCGGGCCGGGCGAAGCTTCTCGGGCCGGGCTGGCCGCCAAACGGGGCCAAGGATGGACTGAGGAGGCAAGGATGCAGGGGGTACCCTTTCGGGGGCGCGCAAACACGGATTAGCGATCCATGGATCTGGCGCGCGGTCGCCAAATGCATGGATCGGGGGAGGTGCCCTCCCCAAAATGCGGCCGGTGGCGCCTCGCTCGGCGACGGAATCCGCGATTTCCCATGGAAGCGGGCGGGACGGTCGCTGATCCACGCCCCCTTAATCCATGTTTGCGATCGCCTGACATGTCCTCGTACAGGCGGACTTCGGAAGAACAATAAAAAATAGTCAAACATCAGACAAGAAGGTCCAAAGAGCACAACAACTCGTCACCATCATATCTTTACCCTTCTTCTGTAAGCGGCCTGCCCGACTCAACACGAAGGTCCATGGGAACGGGAGGGCGCGTTGCAGCATCAGTGGTCCGTTCGGGGCCTCGGGCCCCCCACCCTGGGGTCCCACTCCTTCTCAAGCTCCCTCCAGCCCGTCTTCCCCCCCCCACGCCCGAAATCCATACCGCGTGTGAGGCGACCATAGAAATAGGATGGAGAACAGATGCAGCAGCAGTTGCGCAGAACACTGGGAGGGGCAACCTTCCGAAGATCGGAGATTATTCCTCCTCCTCCTCCTCCTCCTTCGAGCTACGAGCTGCGGACGGTCCTGATCCAGCTGCTGCTGCTGCTGCTGCTGCTGCTGCTGCTGCTGCTGCTGCTGCTGCTGCTAGCTGGCGCCCTCGCCTCCTCCTCCTCCCCCTCCCCCTTCCCCTCCCCCTCACCCTCCTCCTCCTCCTCCTCCTCCTCCTCCTCCTCCTCATCTTCCTCCTCCTCCTCCTCCTTCTCCTCCTCCTCTTCCTTTTCCTTTTCCTCCTCCTCCTCCTCCTCCTTTCCCTTCCCCATCTCCCTCGCCCTCCCCCTCCTCCTTCTCCTCCTCCTCCTCCTGCTCTTCCTCCTGCCTCCTCCTCCTCCTCAGCCTCCACCTCCTCCTCCTCCTCCTCCTCCTCCTCCTCCTCCTCCTCCTCCTCCTCCTCCTCCTCTCTCCTCCTCCTCCCCCCTCTCACTACCCAACCCAACTTCGCCCCCCGAGAGCAGACTGTGAGGGAGAAGGCGCGTTTGCGGGAACCCGCGGCCGGCCGGGGCCGCGCGCGGGGGCTCGGGGCAGGGTCCTGGGAGCTGCTCGGCGACGCGGCGCTCGCGGGGGCGCTCTCCGCCACGGCCTTCCCCGCGCTGCCCCCGGCAGTCGCAGTCGCCTGGAAGGCGCGAGCGGGCGGAGAGGACTCCTTTGCTCATGCGGGGAGCAAGAAACAAGCCACTACCGGGCCGGGCGAAAGGGGGGGATAGCAATGGGGGGTTTGAGAATCAGCTCACGTAGGTGATTTTCCCGGCACCTCCCGGCGTCGGAGGCGCCCATGTATCGAGGAATGGGCCCGGCGGCGGGGCCGAAACCAGCTGCATGCAGCAGATGTCGTAACCCCCCCTTCCTCAATCCCCCCATTTCGTCCGGCCCGACACTAACACAAAAACCTTGGAGGTCCGCGCGGACTTCTCGGATCGGCGCAGGAGCTCCCTGCCGCGCGCCAGGGACAAGGGTCCAGCGCCGATCCAAGACATCTGCGCGGAGCTCCGGAAGCTTACCGGGTTACCGCAATCTGGTTTATGGCCTTTGTCATCTTCGCCTCATCGTGCGGTGCGGCGACTCGCCTACGGTAAGTTCGCGCAGCGTCGGCGCGCGCAAAGGTTTTTGACACCGCGACGATTGCACAACCTTGAACCGATCGCGGCCCCGATCGTTCAAAGTTGAATTCCGTCGGGCCCAGTGGCGTCACCACACCCATCGATGCTTCCGCGTCGCAGAATTCAACCTTGAACGCCTTCGCCGGCGTCGCCGGCGCACCAACGCCGCGTGAACTTACCGTACGCTGGGTCACCGTCGCCTGGCGGCACCATCCCTGGGAGGAGGATGCGGAGGATGCCTGCAGTAGGCCACCGCCGGCTGGATCGGAAGGCCAGGAGCGAAGGAGGGACAGCCACAACGCTGGGCTGAGGGGACTGCCGCACTGCCCCTGCGCCCTTCGAAGGCTCGAGTAGGGGATCTACTACAGAATCGACGTACCCCAAAATTAATCTTCGCGTCGAAATTGCAAAACAAATTCGTCGAATGTTCTTAGATATGCAGATCATTTCACGTATCATCGTATATTCGACGAACAGAAGAATTTCGGGGTAGATCAATTCTGTAGTCGATCCCCTACTCGAAAGGCCAACCCATAACCCCCAACGGTGATGCGACTGGCGCCCGATTTGTTGAGCCGCGCGCAGGCCATCACCGCTGGGGGTCGGAATCGGCGTTGGCTGGGGGGGGGGCGCCCAAGGCGGCTCACTCAGCACAGCGGTTGCGGCTGTCCCTCTTCGCCCATGAGAAGGGGGGATGGTTGCAAGTACAGTTCGGTCGGGCATGTCCTCCCACAGGCGGATTTTGGAAGAACAATGGAACAAAAACACGAACATATGTTTCAAAGTAGCCAACAAATGATCGACGAATCGTCCCCAGACTATTGTTTTACTACCTTTGCATATTCCTCCTGTAGAGGGACAGGCCCGATTCAATTCTTCGCCCACGAGCAGGGGGGGACGGTTGCAAGAGCACAGCCGTCGTGCAGCCGCAGGGGACGCAGCAGCAGGAACGACGGGGCCCCTTTCCAGCCACGACGGGCCCCTGCCAGGAATGGCACTTTCTCCTGGAGCTGGGTGCACGGAGCGGCCAGGAGACCAGAACCCATCCCGAACTCTCCTCCTCCTCCTCCTCCTCCTCCTCCTCGTCCTCCTCGTCCTCCTCGTCCTCCTCGTCCTCCTCGTCCTCCTCCTCCTCCTCGTCCTCCTCCTCCTCCTCCTCCTCCTCCTCCTCCTCCTCCTCGGAAACCAGAACCCATCCTGAGCCCGGATCAATCATGAGGGGCATCGGTAACGGGGTATAGGCATAGGGGAGGATGCATCGACCTGGAGTCGGCGATACATCGTCGACAGGTCGGCGATTGGCCCCCGATAGTGCATCCGCACCTTCCTGGGCGGGGTGGGGCTATCGGGCCCCTAGCGACGATCAATGGGCGATTGGGGGTCGTTGCATCCCCCCTATGCCTATCTCCCCCGATCGTTGCCACTGAAATCAGCATCGAACCCGCGAGTCGAATTCGGATCGGCCAGCATTGGCGCAGAATCAACATTGGATCGGCACGGCCGCGCCGTGATGCACAGCAGCGCCTCGTAGGCATCGCGTTGCATCGGATCGCTGGAATCTCGGAATCGAACCGCATCGAGCTGGCCAGATTCGACATCGAACCGGATCGATCGGATCGACATGGGCCCTTCTGAACCCAAAGTGGTCTTGTACACCCGTCGTTCATTTCGAATCGTGCTCACTTCTAAGTGTGCACGCTTCTCATTGCTCCTGGCCCCCTGGTGGCCAGGAACAGGTCCAGGATAGAACAATTAGAAATGAAAGGATCTTGGCCCCCCAGAAAATCACTCCAAAAATAACCAAATTGGTCAAACAATACTCAAAAAATAGTCCCCAGACTATTTTGTGATGATATTTTAATATTCCTCCTGTAGGGGGACACGCCCGACTTAATGGAAGCAGCGGGTCGACCTGAGGGGGGCGTGGGCGGGACCACGGGGGCACGGCCGGGCTCGCCGGAGCCCCGAACGCGCGTCCGCTGCGTGGAAGGATGTGCAGGGAGGCTCTCTGGAGCACTCGCGCAGCGCAGCGTGCAGAGAAAGAGAGGGGGAACGAGGGGGGGGAGGAGGAGGAGGAGGAGGAGGAGGAGGAGGAGGAGGAGGAGGAGGAGGAGGAGGAGGAGGAGAGAGGGGGAACGAGGGTGCAGCGGAGGGATGCAAATCACGGTTGCCCGACGCCTCTGCTGTGCAACCGCCTCTTGCTGGCGCTCCCGGCCAGCAGTTTGGGCCGTCCTGGGGAATGCAAGGAGGACGCGGGGGCAAGCGCGACAAAGAGAGAGAGAGAGAGAAAAAAAAAAGAGAGAGAGAGAGAGAGAGAGAAAAACAAACGAACAATTCCCCCCGTTTTACCTGAAGCTACAAGCGCCGGCAACGTCGCCCGCGAACGCTCGGCAGGTCGCAACACCAGTGGTGGCGTCATTTACGGATTCCCATGGCGTTGCCGCCCCGCTGGACAATCCACTTTGGACTTGGAGCCTTTTCGCGGTTGCGGGGCGCATTCCGCGCCACAGCCCGTTGAGGCGCCCCGACAGTTCGCGCTGGCCCTTTGGCCTGCACGCACGCTTGAGCGCCACCAAGCGTGTCTGCGCGAAGCATGCGCGTGGGCGACAGAACACGTACCGCTCCCTGACCACCAAGTTGTGCCCATTGGCGTCCGCATCAGCAAACAGGTGCTCGCGCCGCCTTGGCTAAGGCGCGTCTTGCCTGGCAGGGCGGCGACCAGGCACATCGACATCGTCCTGCGTCTCCTCGCGCTGCCCCGCGGCCGCGGGAGGAGGCGAAATCAGCAGGCTCAGCGATGCGCGTGTCTACGACACCGCGGCCTAAATAAGACACTCAAGCGGCAGACTCGAATGTGTCTAAAACAACATGGTACGTATTTATGTACGCCTGCCAGCACCACTCCGCGTGCGCACGCATTGCGGCACCCAGCTTCGCATACTTGTCGACCAGATTTTGCTGCCGTCGGGTATCCTGCGAGCCTACGACCCATGGCAACTCTTTGGGCCACAGTCGCACGGGCTTGTATTTTCTGATTCTGCACTGCTCGCGGCCCAGTGCCACCCAACTCATAGACGCAGTGCCACATCTGCGCCCGGAGCTCCACATGCTTGCGCTCAGGGCGGGGTGCACCGTAGCGGGCCCTACGCCCTGCGCCCTTGGTGACGTCGGCGCGCAATCCGTCCACACTGTCACTGGAACGACTGCCGTCCGGAACGCGGGCAAAACGGCCCATAGCCTCGCTGGAAAGATGCCCTGGTCAGACTGCGGCGCCAGCAGTGGGCCGAACGCTGAAATTCGAAAAAACTTGGCCTCGTCATCGCTCCAGCCGCCTCTCTCCGTGGAGGCGCCTGCCTGCCCCGCAACAGGGAGCCGTCAGCGAAGACCTCGCCCGTGTGTAGTGGCCGGGGTGAGGCCCTTCCTCAAATGCTCGGCTCGACACTGGGAGCTCGGGCACAAGAGCAGGATCTTCGCAACTTTGAGCAGAGACCGACCGTCCCGGCATTCCTATTGTCCTACCACGACATGTTCTTAGAACCCAAGAATGTTCTAATAACACAACAATGTTCTTATAACATAAACCTGATGTGTTAAACCAAGACAGCCCCAACCAGGAAAGTTCTAAGAACATTTCGTGGGAACCACAAAAGGTTCTTAGAACATTGTTTGGTAGGACTATAGGCACGCCAGGACGCTTCGCCACTGCGTGACAACTGCCCCGCCCCCACCGCCATTCCGCAGCAGCAGACGGAGGCTTTGGATTCGAACCTCGCTGCTGGGTGTGGCGGAAGCCCACGCGCTGCCAGTGCGGTGGCCGCGCAGAGCACCAAAACCATCGGTGTCTGCGCGTGCCCCCCTCGAGCTCGCGCGCCTGGCACGGCGGGCTGTCAGCTCTGCCCTTGGCGTGCAATCGGCTCTGGGGCCACATGCCTCCGTAGAAGACTGTGCGCACTCTGGTCCTGTGCTCCTGTGTCCACTTCCTGGTGAGCGGTCGTGCAAGCAGAGCTCAAGCCGGCTCCGCGAGTATCGATCCCGTCACGCCTGCCTCAGTACCCCAGCGCTGTCTCCATACTGCGTGGGGCTGGTGGTGGGTGTAGCGTTTCACCATCGCGGCGCGGCGCCATAGTGACGTCGTCTGGAGCTGCAGCACCTCGCTTGCGATGGTGACTGTCGACGGCGACTGCATGCTGCAGTCAAGCCTTTTGACCGTGGATGCGACGGCCGCTGCAGGCCTCCCTCGCAAATTGCCACGGCCTGGGTGAGCCTCGTGACCCTCATGGCCCACGTGCGCCGTGCTGCGCATCACCGCGCCCGCAGAGCTGCTCCTCCTCCTGGGTCCCTTGCCGCACCCGGGCCCGCTCCACTGTCGGGCCAGCGTTGGCGAGCACGGCAGCGTCGGCGTCCTCCGCCCCAAAAAACACAACCAAGACCCCGCGGCGGAGAGCCGCGTGTTCTGCAGCAGTGTGTCCGAGGCGCCCACGACCTTGGACCCGTCGAGAAGCGAGGGGATCTCGCC